TTACGGGTTTCAAGTGTTCCGAGATCGTAAATAAGATTCCGTTCAAAATTGCTGGTAACACTCTGTTGTGTATTGTCTGTAGTTTACGCGAATACACATTTAAATGATACCGTGGTCCCTCCATGGCCACGGATGTTTTCAAATTAAAAGTTACGTTTGATAGTTACTAAACTAATATGGTTAAGCTTATCTCATAGATATCTATACTCCCCGCAAGTAGTATGTACAGTACAGTATAAGTGTTAACGAGTACAGAGTAAATAAAGCATTTTTGACGGTTTTAAAGGCGAAATAAATGCAAATCGAATCCATAACGTTAAATGACAATATGTCAATAAATAAAATTTTAAACCGTTAAAAGTGTTTCATATATTTAATCGGCTGCCATAACCAAATTAACAATTGCAAAGCGAAAACGTGGGTCAAAAGATATATCCTGGTGACAAACAGATAGCAAAGTCTTTGTGATCAATACCCCTTTATTGATCACATCTTTTATTATTATTTTCTATCGGCGACAGCCATAGAAGGGTGATCAGTCCACATCATCAGCTGACCATTTGACCCATTTCCCCATTTCCTACTTGCAGAGATTTTCTGGGTTATCCAACACTCACCGTGTCCCCTTCAAACCTTCCGGTTTGCTTGCAGATTCTTGCTATTTGTTCCATCTTTAATTCTTTAATGTCACATTTCTTTACTTCGTCCGAACCTATATACATGTCTTAGTCTCGACTACGCAGAGCATTCAGTAAGTAGATGGATGCTTGTTTCCTCACCTTCTCTGCACTCCGTACATAGGGGGTCGCTATCTATTCCTATCATTGTTAGATGTCTATTTAGACGGCAAAGGGGTCTTTAGGGAAAACGCATTTTTTTTTAGCAAATTTAACTTGGTCGACGATTCAGTATTCCTCTTATGTTGCGTTTGAAACCATTAAAACTGTTTTATTTACGCTGTACACATGTACTAAACGCGTATAGTACAGACAATATTGATTCTGCGCGATTTCCGTAAGAAGAAACAAATTAGTTTAGTAATCATTAACTCTAAGTTGAAATATTAAATTCTATAATTATATTTCACATTTTAAACCGTTAAAAGTGTTTTATTGTAATGTGTACTACTCGCGTAAACTTCTTAAGAGCCTCAAAACGCCTTCAGGTTTTACTGTCGGATAACTAATACTTTAAAATAGATGAGGGCATTTAGAGGGCATGAAATATTAGAATATAGGCCGTTTTGAGGGGATTAACAGTTACCCCTATGCTTACGTCCTAGACCCGGCTTTTATGTGGCATGCTTAAGTAATAGTGCGAGTGGAATCAGGGATTATAATCGGACCCTTAGTGACGCCGTAAACGTGTAATGGGTTAAGACGTGTGCAGATTGCGTGCGATACCAATAAGGTTACTATAACTGTAAGGGCTGTGTCATATTGAACACTTTTGAGCGATTCAATTTTTTTTAATTTATAAATGAGAGAAAAGCATGGGAATCACGTTTTGGAGCATGAAATACCCTAGTTATATAACATCTAAGTAAGATGCGTTGTCGTCTTGTTTGGCTTTGTGTATACAGAAATCTAAAGGCTGAAACTGAAACTTGACTAACTCCACGGCTTTTTCCATTTTCTATAGTAATGTTTAATTTCTAAGTATGACTCGGATGGAATTCTCGAGGTTTCGTCCATACATTTAATATCCAGTTTTAGAGACTAAGTCTAACGTGTGTTAGATATGAATTTATTACTAACTGAATCCGAAACGCGATCGGTGATTTTATACGGATATGAAGTCTGTCATATTTCAGAAAAAGTATTGTTTATTAGCTATTTTTGTAACTAAATAATATATACATGCCTTAAAAATACTAAGTAAACATAAGCCCACAAATGATTACACAATTAAGAAGTACATTTTTTATTTTTTATTAATAAAACTAAATTTAGTACATAATGTATTAAGAAATGAAATGTTGACTTTATTATACAATATTTAATAATATAATACATATTGCACTTTGAATCGAATCCACGACCCGTCGATTATTAGATAGACATTGCTATCAAAATTCACTTTTGGATTGAGCTAAGGTTGGATGGGATATGGATGATAATTATATACAAAATAACGTCACGGCTTGTCGCCGCCATTGTGGTAGGGCCCTAAGGTTCCCAAATGACAATCTGACCTTTATGTCATTCTAATCATGGACATTGATGTGAAATCTTTGGGAAATTAAGTGCCTGATAATAGTATTTGTGTTTGCGCTTGTCATATTCTTTGATTGTGGTGTTTTTATGAAATTAAAAATATTAATCCCTATCGATGTTTTGAACTGGAATGGAGGTCTTTTCATTCCCTGCCAATATTAAAGAAGCGGTAGTTATGTAAGGTAACTTGAAGCATCTTTAGTCTTGTATTGTTAAAAAAATAAACATGTTTAAAGATTTAAATAAAACACTTTAACGGTTTAAAACGCGATATATTAGTTAAACTTATTTGAAAATTATTTTTAACTTCGGCCCGACGTTTCGGATGCTTTGCAGCAGCCGTGGTCACGGGGAGATAAAGATGGAGGATGTATGCTTAAAGATTTCAACGGAGATTCGGGTTGTCTGTGTGTCTGTCCGATCAAGGGTGCTTTTCACGAACTATTATATATTTTTTATATTATTGTGCTATTAGTATATATTTTAATATAACACAACACTGCTACGTTAGCGCCACCTGGTTCCGAAACATTGCGTCGAACCGTAGTTAAAATACTTAAAAAATAAGTCACAATATTGCACGTTTTAAACCGTTTAAAGTTTTTTATTCTTTCTAAAGTATAGAAGCACATTAATATGTAAACTTGGAAAACTTCGAACGACTGGCAACACCGTTCAAAGCAGACGTAAGCTTTTAATAACATATTCTCTCTCGCACGTTATAGTACATCTTAATCTGACTGCGAACTTCCATCCATAGCTAATTGCTCCACGTGCTTTACACTTTAACAATGGGTTTGTGAGTTTAAAACTTGTCTACGCTTAGTAATTTATCGTACATTATATTGTTTTGCGTTTCCAACTAGCTTGCAACTTTGACTCCATAGGTGAAATAATTGCGTTCAACGTTTTTTGTGGCGTTTCGTGGAAATTTCAACTAACAACGGGCGAATACTTTTACTTTATTCGATTCGGATTAAATTTCGCTTTATTAAAGTAAATCGTGCAGTATTTGTTTAGTGGAAATTTAGGGAAATAGTAGAAATGGGAAATATGTTGTTGAATGTGGTTTTTCCAGAATATCATTATTATACACAATAAAATGGTTAGTTATTTTGAATGTCCGTTGTTTACGCGAACGGAAAAATACTTTCCAAATTGTATAGGCCATAAAAACATACAGTCCTATTTTAATATAACACTAATAACGGTTTCATATGTGAATCTTATACTTAGGTAAATTACTACGTTTCGTATGTGATCTATATTCTTGCTGTCATTTAAAAGTTGCATGTCAATTTAAAATAAATTAACTTATATATTTTGCGTTTCAAACCGTTAAAAGCGTTTTATTTTAAAATTTTAGAGTTTTGATTCTTAGTCTCTATCAGTTATCCATTTAAGAATTGTATTAGGCCAGTACTTCATAAAACGAATATTATACATATATTATTAAAATGGTTAAATCATCAAAACGAAATTTATTGTTATCTTTGTTGTAATATCTTTTTATGTATCTCTTGTAATAAATCTCTTTTTTATCAATTATATATTCATAATAGCTGTGGTCGCGCCTAAGATATTTTAGGCATAAAATTTTGAAAAACTTGATGTTTTATACAATATAAAAAAAAAAAATTCCAACCAGTAGTTCCTGTGATAAGCGCGTGCAAACAAACAAACTCTTCAGGTTCATAATATTAGTGAAGATTAGACATAATTTAATAATATATTGGAAAGCGTGAAGCAATAATTATCGCGGTCGGGGTGATCTGTTAGAGGATCTTATTGCTCCTCAAGTCAAACGCCGCCGTTACCACCCGGGTTTATTACAGGCAATGCTTTAAGCGTTCACTTAGAATAGGAAAATAAATTTAAGCCCCTTAATTGCGAGAGCTAATAATTTGTATGCAAACCATTTGTGATAATTGGTTTTTGTCTGCTTTGTTCTCGAATGTTGCACTTTGGTTCTGTAACTTAGTAAAGCACTATAACGAACTCTAATATGCATTCGCATAGAAACATGGCATTCAATTAAACAATTTTAACGGAATAAAACGTGAAAAATATTCATTGGCTTATTTAAACCACGTTCCGACGTTTCATTTTCATTTTGAAAAATACTACATATGTTGGGCGATGTAAGAGCAATATGGAAATTTATGCCTAAATAAAACACTTTTAATGGTTTAAAATGCGACATAGCTTAGTTTTCAACCGTTAAATGTGTTTTATTGTAATGTTTAGATACCATTTGTTTGAACTACGGATAATACTTTTATTTTCTATACATTTAAAAGTAATGAGTTTAAACTAGCTGTATTTAATTGTTATATTTACCGAAAAACCGTATTGGTCTAGTGGTGGCTAGATCAGAAGTTTAATTATTTGCTCTAAAATATTTAAAGTTTTAGTTACCAATTATTTTAATTTGATTTAATGAGATACAGGCCGATGTTTTCCCCGTGACAACGGCTGCTGCAAAGCAAACATCGTGTTGTAGATGAGATAAATGAAAATAAGTTAACTAATATATTACACGTTTTAAACCGTTAAAAGTTATTCAAACAACGCTAGCCCATCTGTAAAATATTTAGTTTAATGGCTTGTAGTAAAAAAACTCAAGCATTTTCTGTAGTTTAGAAGTGTACTACACATTTAAATAGAATATTTATAACTAAAATAAACTGTTGAAATATATTTTAAAAAGACTTGCCATTATCCGCGAGAAAGATGATCATTGTTAACTAGTATTTTATAGCCGTTACTCATGATATAGTAGGGTCACATAAATATTTCACAGTTAATCAGCGTGTCCAGTGCTGTTTGCGGTCCGACGCGGTTCGCCCACGCGCCGAACCGTGTGGCGCCAGCGAAGCTACATGGGCGGTTTGTTCCACTTAACGTCGTGCAGACCTTCGAGAACCTTCGAAACAAATTAAATGTCTTCTGGCTTTTGCCGCCTCTGTGGTTTTTCAGCTTGTCTTTTTTTATGATTGAGGAGAGATAAGCATGGAGCTCTCTTGATGGAGAGTGAAAAAATCCTGTCATAGAACATGCTAGATGTGTCAGCGACTTCGTCCGCGTAAAATAGTTATTTTGGACACCAAAATTAGTTTTTTCAAAACTCCTCCTCATCCTTATAAAATAGAGCGCTGTCGCCTCTCGTTGTTCTTGTAAGTCAATCTTAAAGGATAGACGTATAGTGTAGCGGATTTTTTTTAGATCATATAAAGACGAATTTTCTTTCATACGTAGATTTTGGGTATCTCAAAGTTATATCCACCCTTTTTTCCACTATTTCTTGGCTTCTATTGGTCACGTCGTAATATTGTTTAGCATATAGCCTTCTTCGATAAATAACTAATCTAACCAACAGAATATAAATAATGAATGTGAAAATAATTTTATCTATTCTGTAGCACAAGGATTAGACAATTAAATTGATTTGTAAACGAAATTGAAAGTTAATGTCTAAGAAGCTCCAATAGTATTGATTCTCAATTCCTTTGTGACGAGACTCTTCAAATGATCTCAATACTGTCTCGAGGATAATGTTTCTAGTGGTTGGTTACGTTCGGTTAGTTCTCCTTTTGTTTTGTCAGATATAATAGCATTGTATAACTAATTGAAAGGTATTTTTAGATTCAATTCGATGAGCAATCGTAAATTATTATAGGTACTTAACGGCTTAAGTCAGTTGAAATGGTGTTTTTATAGTATTTATGTTAAATACTGTCTGTAGTTTACGCGAGTAGGAGGTGTCTGCGTTTCCCGGTATGCTGTTTTTTGTAATCCAGAGTTTTAATGAGGGATCCAATATTGATATGGAGTTTAAATATCTTCGCGTTTTAAACCGTTAAAGTGTTTGATTGAGAATTTTTTGAATTAATATTAGATGAAAAGGAACGAGTTTTTGTTACCACACAACAGTTTAATTACGTTTCGGTTTCAGTCTGTTGATTCCCATATATTCCAAGCCAAGAAAGGTCGACAGCATATTATATTAAAATTTTATATGGCTGGAGTATTAACATCGAGTGAACCCCGTTCTCGACTGTACTCCTTTATCAATAAAAAAACGAATGTGATCACCCTATGCCCTACGGGGAGAAACGAGATCTACTTTTTAACTCTGATTAACACTCGGTAGATGTATTTAAGTCTTGACGCCACTTAGTGCTTTCTGAATTTTGCTTAATTTAATTAAATCACTCCGTTTACCTTATCCAAGTATTACGGACTCAAAACGCTACAAGTTTCGAGTGGTAATCTTCAAAGTTCAGCCATCTACCTCTACGATGGGCCAATTGCTTCCCGACCGGATCTATAAGTCCGAAGTAGGCTTAGGCTTCCTAGAACCCGAACAATGAAAAGCCTATTTACATAAGTAGACTTGACGAACGGGGTTTTATCAGTCAAATATAAACACATATATCTTTTATGATATGATAAGTAAGACAAGCATCGTCATTTTGACTTTGGCTATGCGGAAATACACAGACTGAAATTGAAACACGAATAAACTTCACGGCTTTTTCACTTGCTTTCTAGATTAAGTCGAGCATGTAAACAAATAAATACCATTTCTGCAATACAAAATAAATGTTTAAAAAATATTACAAATGGATTAGAAATATGTTGGACTCGGTGGGTATCAAACCCACGTCTGATTATTAGCCTTATATTGCCTAATTTTTAGTATTACAACCATTTAAAACTAAAATTCTACAAATAAAGTCTTTTGAACGTTTTTAGAATGAATACTTTTCCAATATTATAAAAAATCTATATACTTTAGAAATGTTATTGTAATTCAGGATTACGTTTTAGATAGTGACCTAATTTCGACAAAACGAAACAAAACCTATACAATAATATTTTGTAATATGGCCTAAGCTCAGTTTAATAATAAATTTAATAACAAATCACATTAAATTTGCGTAAAACATTTGTAATATTTTCCGTAATTCGAAAATATAACATTTGTTAGTACAGCGTTCTTGCATTTTGAGGTAAGTTTAAAGTATACAATGTATTCCTAGATATTATGTACGTCTATAACGCCCCCAGTCCTGGACGGAAGCGCATCTGGTGCAGTAATTTCGTTTTTGCATAACACCGCAGCTTTTAATTCCAAAGTAGCAAACGGTCAGAGCGGACATTACAAGCAAATGCTACAGATTTTAAAATGCAATCTTTGCGAAAGAAGATAAATGGTGGAAACGTTACGCCCAATCGTATGGATAAAGCTTCGGTCTCTTATAAACGCAGTATACGTAACGTCGCGCGTTACATTATAACTTGTTGAAATATACTATTGTTGTCTTTTTCTCGCAGCGTAAACGATTTGTTTTTTTTTTTTTTTGTTTGATTATTACGTATTGTGTTCCTAAGGAGCCACGAATACTAACCGGGCGTTGTGGGCGAGCGCGAGAGCTCTCCGCCTTTTTTCCCCCCAAAACCCCCCCCCCCCGGGGGGGGCACGGGCGCGGGGGCCCCCCCCCCGGGGGGGGGGGGGAGCTTGAGGAGCTGGACGGAAGCTCACCCGGGTGAGCGGTACGCGTAGCGAATGACCTCGCCTACGCCGGCGTAGGCGGTTTTGCGGGCGATCGGCACCGGTGTTAGCCAATCGCATAGCGGTAAGTACGTCGACGGCTTTCGTTAAATTGTCGTCGGAATCGGTAAGGACGTTACGCGGCCTTCTCCAGCGTGTATTGATGGGAACGGTGTAGTTGGCGGCCCGGGCCACCAGTGGGTTCGGATGCGTCGCGGCTTTTTTGAAGAAACGCTCGGACGTTTCCTTGAAGTACCGACTGAGGGTCGGTAATTCGAGATCGGCGTGGAGATCTGCATTCCGCACGCACCAGATGGCTCCAGTGGCGGTTCGAGTGAACCGATTCTGAAGCACCTGGAGCCTGTGGAGTGTGCTAGGGGCGGCGTGGGCGAACGCGACGCTGGAGTAGGTGAGAATCGGACGAATACAAGTTTTGTACAGCGTAACTTTGTGTCTGAGGGACAACTTGCTACGCGCGCAAATTAGGGGATATAGCCTGCTCATGACGTAGCAGGCTTTACGACGGACTCGATTGACATGTTCGCGGAAGGTTAACTGTTTGTCAAGCGTGACGCCTAAATATTTGGTCGATTTTTGCCACGGAATGTCTTCGCCGTAAAGCTTGACATTGGCGGGGCGTCTACACGGTTTAGTACGTGTACTGAGGGGCCTACGAGTAAAGTAGATTGCCGCACTCTTATCGGGGTTAACCTCGACTCTCCATTTCCGGAACCATGCGCCTAGGGCGTCGGTCGCGGTCTGGAGAGTGGAGACGATCCGCTGCGTTTTGCAGTCGGTGGTGTAAACGGCCGTATCATCGGCGAAAAGCGCAAGATGGGCTTTGGCGGTTTTGGGGATGTCGCTAGTAAAGAGCGAGAATAGAATTGGCGAGAGAACCGATCCTTGCGGAAGGCCTGAGCGAAGGGATTTCGGAGTGGAGAGGGCGCCCTCTACCCGGAAGCGGAAGGAGCGATTCGACAAGAATGAGTGGATAATTCGCACCATTCTGTCGGGCACACCGATCTGGTATAGCTTGTATAACAGACCGTTATGCCAGACTTTGTCGAACGCCTTCGCTACATCGAAAAAGAGCGCTCCTGTCGCGAGACCGCGAGTCGTACGGCCGAAGCCGTGAAGGATGTGCTCCGTGAGGCGGTGCACTTGATGGGTACATGAGTGGGCATGGCGGAAGCCGAACTGTTCGTCCGGAAGAAGGGCCTGGGAGTTTGAAATGTCCCGTAGGCGTGCGTTGAGAAGTCGCTCGTATATTTTAGCGAGCGAGTTGAGAAGACTAATAGGTCGGTAACTACTAGGGAGATTGCGGGGTTTACCCGGCTTATGAATACCTATGACTACAGCCTCTTTCCACTGATCTGGAAAGATGCAGTTAGTCATAAGACAGTTGAAAATCGCCACCAGAAGGGCAATAATTTGATCGGGCAGGAGTTTGATTGCCCTATTTGATATTTTATCGGGACCGGGGGACTTCTTATTATGAAGACGCCTGATAGTAGAGTTAACCTCGTCGAACGTGATCGAGGGGAGCGGGTCGCCGGCGGGCGGTGAGTTTAATCGTAACGACACCTCGTCGTCGACCGTTTGAATAAACGCGGCGTCTACGCGGTTCGTATTTGGCGAGCACTGAGTCTCGAGACTCTCGGCTAGACACTCGGCCTTATCCGCGTCGTCGAAGGCCGGTGGCTGGTTAGCGCGAATCAACGGAGGGAGTGTTTGAGTTGCCTCCGATTTGAGGACTCTCGCGAGGGGCCAGTACGCAACGTGAGAGGGCGTGAGCTCGGCGAGATGTCGATCCCATCTGTCGCTTCTGAGTACTCGAATACTATCTCTGACGCGTCTCTGAAGAACGCGGAGATTGCGTCGGTTTACCTCTGTGGGGTATCTATCGTACGCGCGGGTCGCGCGGTTCTTGGCCGTTATCAACCTACGCACCTCTGGGGGCAACGCAAATCGTCGGTCGGGACCGACTACGCGCTGCCTAGAGGAGTATTCAATCTTAGATTGAATATGGTCGGTGACGGCCGAGATCGCGCCTAACGCTTCGTTCGCGGTCGTCAGTCTGTCGGGTATGTTATCTAATTGAGGGGAGCTGATGGGCTTGAGAGCCGCTTGCAGCTTCCCCCAGTCGACAATGGTTTTCGTTATCGGATCGGAATCGACCGGAGGACCCAGCTTGAAGAGCACGGGTCGGTGATCCGAGTCGAGTTCGTGTATCGTTTCTACGAGCCGTAGCTGTAGTGTTACGTCTCGTAGCACCGCTACGTCGAGGACATCCGGAGCGATGGGCGGCGGGCTAAAATGTGTGGGAGCGGTAGGAGCGACTACTGTAAAGCCTAACGTGTTTGTCAGTCCGTCTAGTATGATACCGTTGCGGTTATTCCGAGAGCTATTCCAGTCCCAGTGTTTGCTGTTGAGGTCCCCGGCCAGAATGACCGAGTTCCCTAAGGCAAACAGGGCTCTGAGATCGCTCTCGAGCACGGTTTTATTTGGCGAGAGGTAAACCGAAGCAATGATTAGTGACTGGTGACCTGTCATCGCGATACGACAGACGGAGACCTCCATGTTCGTGAGCGGAGGAGGGTCGATAGGCATGCAGTGCAGTGACCTTTTATAGTAAATTAACGTACCGCCAAAGCGTTGGCTTGTGCGGTCGTTTCTAATTAGATTGAAATTGGCAATCTTTGGATCTCGCATGGACGGTTTAAGAAAGGATTCCTGCACCGCAAGTATATCGACCTGGTGCCTAACAACGAAGTCTCTAACCAGGTCAGTCTGTTTGTTTAATCCGTTAGCGTTAAAGCTAACTAATGTTAACGAACGCGGTTTGTTCCTACTAGTACTGGCCATAGTGAATTAATTTAAAAGTTACGCGACGCTGCACTGCTCGGGGGGCAGTGGTAGTTTTTCAACGCTGATACAAACGAATCGAATCGTACTACAAGGCCCATAAGGGCGTCGAAGTTTCCCTCGGCCTCGCGAATGGCCGCGGCGAACGCATTAATTGCATCTAAATCTAGGTTGCGCGCGAAATCCCTACAGAGCGCAGCGTTCTCGGAAAGCTCGGTAGTGGGCGCGTTTGGCGCAGAGGGCGCCACGGGTCGAATGTTGATAGGCGCTGAAGGCGCTTTAGAGGGTAGCGCTGAGGGCGCTGAAGGGCGTGGCGCTGAGGGCGCTTTGGGAGTCGGCGCTGAGGGCGCTAGTTCCGCTACCGGTGGCGGCGCTGAAATCTTTGACCATGCATTGGTCGAAGGAAGCGGGGCAGGGACGAATAAGTCCCGGGGTTTTTGAGAACCGCGAGGCGCCACGGCGACGGTCGACGGGCCCTTGTTCCCGGGACGCCTCCGGCCCGCGCCTCTCGGGGCCTTGGGACACCCGCGATAATTCGCCGTGTGTCCCTCGGTCCCGCAGTTAACACAGGCAGGGGGAGTCTCGCAAGGAAGCTTGCGGGCGCATTCGGCCGTGCCGTGGTCCCCGAGGCACTTCACGCACCTCGGTTTCCCCTTGCAGTAGCGGGAGGAGTGGCCGTAGCGTTGGCAACGGTGGCATTGCCTCACTACGTCCTGCGATTTGGGTGACTCGACAGTGAGTCCGGTGAGGGAGCAACACTGCTTTAGATTAAAGATCGCTCGTGAGGAAGGAGAGGGGTCTAGAATGACTAAGACCAACGGATATTGGGCCTTAGTATGCCTATTATACAGGCGATGGACCTCCTCTACGGGGAGGCCCTGTCCGATTAAGTCGGATTTGATTACCTCGTTAGGTATTTCAATGGGGATACCGCGAACGACGGCTCTCATGCGACGTTCGTCTTCGGTGGCGTACGTGTGGTACGCGATTTGGCGCTCTATAAGGAGGCGAATGAGGGCCCTATGGTCGGCCGGGGAGGACGCTTTAACGCTGATGCCCAGCGAAGTATTGCGGGCCTGCGTAAAGGTTATTTTCCTCTGAGCCATCTGGCCGGAGATCGAGGTCCACACGGCCTTATCGTGGATAATGATGGGGGGCGGGAGCTTTGGTCCCCGCTGGGACGCGACGGATGGAGTCGGAGGCTCCACCGAAGGGGACGGGGGCTCGATAATGAGCGACATCAACGGCTTAGGGCCGGAAGAGGGCGCGACGGGCGCTAGAATGCGCTTCGCGGGCGGAGAGGCCTGAAGGGCCTGAGGGGCGGAGCGCTTCTTCTTGCGCTTACCGGTGACGGTTTTGAATGAATCGTCCGAATCAGACGATGAGGAAGAAGAATTGCATTCGGACATAGGAGAGTCCGAATGCTCGGCGGAGGGAGGGGTTGGGGGAACGCAGACGGCGTTGTGGATGGAAGCGGCGTCGGAGGCAGCGCGCGAAAGGGGACTCGGCGACCTAGGTGTCGCCGCTACGGGTGGGGTAATCGCGGCGCACGGTGAAGCCGCGCGCGACGGGTGGGACGGGGGGGCCACGCTAGACGCGACCTCCCGCTTGATGTTTAGAAACACCTCGGGGTGTTTTTCTCGTAATATTTCGAGGATTCGGCGGTCCTCGAGTCCTAACATTTTCGAGTCCCTCTCCATGCTGGAGCACAGAGAGGACGGGGTCGCGGTTACAAGTGTACCTATGTGTGGTGAGTACCTACGCAGCTGTATGTAGGATATGTGTGTGTATGTGCGTCCCCGCTGGTGGTAGCGGGGGTGAGTTTGTCGCTGACCTAACCAGCCCGCAGGGGGTTACTTTGGCTGGAGCCCCTGCGGATCGCGACCGGGACTCGTCTCACAGTGGACCCCGATCGAAGTCCTGACCTGCTAGAGAGCGGTTGGAGTGCCCGCTCCCCTTGACTTGCCAACTAGTGGCCCAGGCACGATCGGCGACTTGAGAGAAGCGAGTGGGCTGTACGCCGCCTTGAAAAAGGCAACGGTGTTTGCGCCCCGACAAACACTCCCGCACAAGGCGTTAGCCTCCCGACAACCGTTTGGCACCGTTAGGTGGCCGTCGGAGAGACCGCAGGTAAACCCGCGAGCATAAAACGAAGCGAAGTGGCCGCAGTCTGCCTCGCGAAGGGAGCGCAGCGGCGGCGGCGTGTGGCGGTGAGCGGCTTAGCGGCTTCCGGCGAGCGGCTAGCGGCGAGCGGCGGACAGCAGACAGCGACGGCGGGATCGTCTGAAGCAACGTAAGAAAGCTTCAGCCGTTATCCCAAATCGTAGCAGGGCGTGGCACCTATGCGACCCGATAGCGATCGCCGACCGGCTCACGAAGGGAGCGCAGTGGCGGTGAAGCGGTGCGGGCGGCGGGCGGTGGCAGCGGGGGGCCGGTTGTCTCGAGGGGACAACGGCGAGAGTGCGCAGTGGAGACGTCCGCTCGGGACGGCTGTTCGGCGCGGAATGTAAACGATTTGAAGTGTCTAGTTATTTTAATCAATGCGCAATAAACGTCGCTGACTCCGAAGACGACATAATAAACGTCGTAGACACACTTGTCACGATACGATCCGCCGGTGTAAATCATACGAGAAATCACCTTCGCCGGCGAAGGTCCCTTGTTCCGCGTACCCCTGACTCATTTAAGGATCTGTCTAGCTTCCTCCTTAGCTTAGAGCTTCCACCTACATTGGAGTGATGCAAACCTCCTCGGAGCACTCTTGGCCTAACCACAAACGCGCCAAAACATCCAGTTATTCGAGACAAGTAAAAAAAATAGAGACTATATATAATATTCTATCAATTGGCGTTGTGAGAAAGTTTGACGTGTGAAAAAGTTTACGAAATAAAACAACTTATAACGCAAGATATAAAAGTATAAATAATTTTATCTACAACTGATCATGTCGGTCACTTTGCAACTGTTATGGTCCACTTGTACCTTCGTAGTCACGCCAAATGATATTTAAAACCGTTAACGGTGTTTTATGTAATGCGTAACAATTGTAACGAAAACTTAACAATAAAAGGAGTGACGGCGAGTTTCCTGCCAGATCTTCTCGTTCCTTCTACGCCCCTAATTTAGGAACTGGTAGTAAATGTAAATTTAGAGTTTTTAAATGTAATGACGTAAAAATGCCTAGCTACCTATTTATGGTTTTTGATTTGATTAGCGTGACGCGCGTTTCTTGGAGACTGCGGCCTTAGCAGTTCCTCGGTGTCGCATTAGTGGAACAAAAACACGTCAGCACTGAATTGCCTTCATTAACTCGGTGAAAATTAGCGAGCGTTAGTTTGAGTCGCAGTTGCAAGAGGTTAGCCACATGCAAGTCATTATGCGGACGATCATTGAATTAATTACGCGGTTGTAGGAACGTAACCGGGGCACAGCAAATAAAGATCAGCTACGTCACTTACGGTTTTGATGAATATATTTGTCTTGAAACGTCGATGATGTCATTCACTGGTGATAGCACAACGTCGAAAACTATTTCTCAATTACGACCCTTCAAGAAGAAGTTTGAAAATCCACTAAGCTTAACAAAAACTAAATAATAACGTACTTAAGTATTGTCTGTAGTTTACGCGACTAGTACACTTTTAAATAAAACACTTTCAACGATTTGCGAAACGCGAAAACTATTATTTGACTGATTTACAATGTATTATATCTACAAACCGACATTTCATATGCTTTGCAGCAGTCGTGGTTACGGGGGTTTGAAGATCTTTCAGATGGCGCCAGCGTACCAGATCGGACTTTGTCATTAGGGAAATCCTCCATCGGTCCTCCTGCAAAGCATCTGTAACATAATTTCTTATCTTAACTTTTGCATAACAATATTTGTTTATACATTAAAAATCATTGTCTAGTCTAGCCAATTATAAAACATTAATTTATTCCAGTGATCTAGCTGATTTATATTATAGGTGTCTTGGAGTTGTAGAATTCAAAATGGGATGCATTTCACGTCGTTCTTACAACTTTTGAGTTTACAGTTAGATTTATTTTACTAAACCTGACTCCATTGATTGAATAGGGTTTTCTCTAATTTGGTTTAGTATATTATAACATCAATTTCTCTATAGCTAGACTTGAGTATTATTTGTATTTAACGCGTATAAACATTTAATGGTTTAAAACACAAAATTTGTTAGTTTTTTTACTATGACCCGACTTTAAGATCTTCTGCTGCTTTAAAGCATATGAAATAACGGCTTAAAATTAAATAATTTTTGCGTATTCCATTAATCGTAAATTTTTTAAGTTAAACATTATTGTATTTAAATATGTAGCTGCAGAGTGAATTATATAACTAAAATAAATAATTTTAAGCCTCGCCTGGAAGAGATAAGGCCACGCTAACCTCGTCGTTTCTGCACTATTTTTTATGGTTTGTTTAAAAAAATATTGCTTACATTTAATAGTATGATAACAGCCTTTCGTGAGAATTATCGTGATGATAAATATAAGTTAAAAAACATTTTGAAAGTTGTTTGGAAATTGATGGTTAGCAAAGTTATGAATAAATAAAATGAACATCAAATTGATAATCAGGGCTGAACCAAGTTCGCGTGTTAAAGTGTAGATAAGGGAGGTTGTAAGTTGTAACGCTCTCCCTGTAACACGGAGTCGGCAACGGTGGTCAAATAAGGCTGCGTTTGCATTGGGCACACAATATTAACTACATCAAAAAAAACGATAAATTTATAAAAGTCTGTAGTGCACCCTTTAAACGGTTTATTTGGTATAAAATTTATTGGTTATTGTAACTAATGCATTTTGGATGCTCTGTAGCAGTTTCCTCCGTAACCGCAGCTGCTGCGAAGCATGCGAAACGTCGGGCCGTAGTTAAAGACATTGTAAATAAGTTAACTAATGTTTTTCGCGTTTTAAACCGTTAAAAGTGTCTTAGTTTTTAAAGCCTTAATCTTTCTTGTACCATTTGAAAATTATTTAAGAATGAAACAACATACTCAAAGAGCTTTATACGGTTCATTTTTAAAATTGATAACCGTGAAAGTAAATTGTAAATAAATTACCTAATATATTTCGCGTTTCAAACCGATAAAAGTGTTCCATTTTTATGTATATCGCGTTAAACCATAGACAGTGCTCAAATCTTTTTAACAAGTTACTTGGGTAGCACGAAAGCTTTGCGAAACTTTACATGAATTATAAGACTTTTTCACCCCTAAGCTCAGTGTAGACAAGGCTTTATGTGGGGTGGACGGTATCTAGATGCACCGTCCCGTCCGATAACAGAATGTCAACGAAGATGCCGAGCGTTCATTTGCTTATTGCTTTCGGTCCGACGAGTCTTTTAATGATCACGGGAATTTTTAACTTCGTGCCTTATCTGTCCTTGTTAATATAACTAGCGGTTTGAACCCGGCTTCCGTCCAGACGTTTATAAATTGATAGTGCTTTATCGTGACGACTACAAATCTTTTATAATCTTTCTGAAAGACTTAATACTCTTTCAAACAACACACTAACAGATGGAAAAGTCGTGTAGTGATCGAATCGACAACCATGTTCAACTCAACTAAGGAATCCGGATGTTCAATACGGATATGATTATCGAAATTCTTTCCGGGTCACGAACCACCGTTCACAGATGAAGCCGCGAAGTTTAATCGTGTTTGGTTTTCAGTCTGTGGATTTCGAAGCGCCCACAAATCAAATTTGATCATCTTGTGAAAATGTTATTGGGCTAAAGTGTTTTACCTTCTATCGGGTGCACTTTGTGCTTATTTATCTTTTGTCATAAAAATAAACTATAATGGAATGTTTCATGTAGAAATAATTCGACTGGATTTTGGGTTTAAAATGAAGTGGGGCTTGGGGCGTAAACATTTCTCTATCGATTTTATTGACTATTTTTTAGATAAGTAGGTCAGACTTCTGTTCCCTGCACGTACGAAACAATCTATTGTTTCCCCCCGGGATTCAAACCCAGGACCTCTCGCTCTTAATGCAATGTTAGGTTTAACCATTAAGGTACAGAAGCGATCTAGGAATTGCTGCATTTTTAGTTAAGTTAGTATCATAAAAAACGAATACACCTGTCTAGTAACTTATTCTACTTACCTTTGAAATACAGTGTCAAATGACTGATTGATAGCGACAACAGCGTGCACTTCTTAGATATTATTAGTAAAGTTCGTGAATTAATAATCTACTACTCAAGACCGTACTATAATTTAATAATGTTTTGCCGCGGTTATATTACTTAATAACACGCTGTTTCGCGCCGCAAACTGCTCCTACTGTGTTATTATTAAACAATCATGAACAAGTTTTATATCAACTCGGTTTAATGATGCTAAATATTATTGATCGTAATATTAACATACTCCATTTGAAAAATTAAATTGTTTCAATGTAAATACTGGTTGTTGTTTACGTGAGTAGTTCACATTTAAAGAAACACTTTAACGGTTTAAAACGCGATATATATTAGTTGAACCGTGGTCATTGCTGCTGAAAAGCATCTGAAACGAATTTTTAAAATTAAATTTAACTAATATGCGTTTTTTAAATTAAGTTATTATTTAAATTTCTACTAATTGCGTAAACTACAGACAGTACTTTTTGTTTACTTTTGTCTTAATCTTCTAAAATTAGATTTTTTTTAAAGGACGATAATAAATACGCTAAGAACTTTTTGAAAAAAAAGGAAGTATGACAATTCATTTTAATAAAACACCTTAAACGGTTTAAATGCGAAATGTATTAGTTAAATTTCTGTATATATCGTCTGTGTCGTGCGTGGGTTACTTTTCCCTGTGACCGTGGCGGTTGGTCCGCCGAAACCTTCGAAATTCCGAAACATCGCGCAGTTAAAATGATTTTCCAACAAGTTTAATTAATACATTTCGCGTCTTAATCCGTTTTATTTAAATGTGTACTACACGCGTAAACGACGTTGCTCGTCAAATTGATCGCGCTTCTTTATCTTGCCTGACCCAAAGTATTAGAATAAGGTAAGACTTATCAATTGGTCGGTTGAATCTTTGTGTGTGCTATAATGCAAATGTTCTAGCTTATTTTTGCGCGTATTTATAATAGGACAAATAAGTTTGGCCTCGGTTAATTTATATAACATGTCTCTAATTTTTCTTAAACTGACCTTGTCTAAAAGTCTGTGACGTTTGAAAACTTAAATATTTTTAACATGTTATTGCAGAAGAAGGCACTATATAATTATAATTAATACGCAAGTGTTAAGGTTGAAATTACATTGCGCATGTGCATGTATCAATAAGTTGAAAAAAAATTCGACGATGAGGTGTAGGACTCGGTAGCTCAATTGGTAGAGCAACAGCACGAACGCACGATGCCGGTTGAAGTCCTCTCGAGTCGAAAATTTGTTCAATTTGTTTTCAATTTTTAAATTATAAAAATCTGTATATTAAGCGGGTACTTAGTAGGTATCGAGAATTAGACAACCAAAATCCTCGTC